GCACTTCTCGTGAAACCATTATTCAATACAAAACTATCAAATTTACCATGCCACTGCTTTGGAGCTTGTTTCAAACTATAAAGAGATTTCATTAACTTACACACTTTTTTCTCATTACCAGAGGTTATGAAACCTTTTCGTTGATCCATATAAATTTTTTCATCTAAATCACCATTAAGAAATGCAGTTTTAACATCCATTTGATGGATCACTAGTTTATGTATTGTTGCAATAAAAAACAAAACTCTAATGGATGTTAATCTACTAACTGGGAATAGGTATCAAAAAAGTCAATGTCTTCCCTTTGTTTGAGACCTTTTACTACAAGTCTGGCTTTGTATTCATCAACAGAGCCATCAGGGTTGAGTTTCTTTTTCAAAACCCATTTACAACCAATACTTTTACAGCCAAGAGGTAACTCCACTAATTTCCATGTATTATTGGAAATTAAAGAACCCATCTCATTGTTAATGGCTTCTCTCCAAAGGTCAGAGTCGGGAGCTGCTAGGGCCTCTTCTACCATAGTAGGATCACTCTCAATATTATAAATATAATAATTAGGCCCATAGCCTTTCTCTACTCTTGCCCTTTTACTTCTCCATGGTTCAACACTAATGTCAAGATCGTTGACATTCTTTGGTATAGATATACCAGTATCATAAGTTATTGGTCCCCCACTATTTCTTAATTTATAAGGAAATTTATCCTCATAAAATTCAGCATCCACAGACTCACTAATCACATTATTTTTCAGGTCAAAAAATTTGTAGGCTTTGCTAGTTAAAGCATAACCTACATAAACACATTCAATTGCACGAGAGCCTAATTTATGACATCAAACAATCTAACATAAGCAAACCAACCCTAAACTTTAAGGTAATTCAAACTAGGTTTCCTTTTCTTCCACAATTTAATAGGAGTAGTATTATTAGCCTTATGAGGTATTCTATTTAAATAATAGCAAGCAGTTAAAATTGTTTTACCCCAAAAATTAACAGGAGCACCAGAACTAATTAACATCACATTTGTCAATTCAATTAAAGTTCTAGTTTTACGTTCAACTACTCCATTAGATTCTGGTGAGTAAGGTGTAACTTCATGAATTATGCACATAGATTCAATATAAGAGTCAAAACTAGTGGAATTATACTCTTTACCATTATCACTCCTTAGTCTTTTTATCTTCCTTTCAAATTGATTTTCAACTTCATTCACATATGTTTAAAAGCATCACTTTTATTTTTAATCAAATAAACATATGTAAATTTGGAGAGATCGTCAATGAAAGTAATAAAGTATCTTTTGCCACCACCAGTTAAAATTCCTTCCATTTCACAAATATCTGAATTTATTAATCTAATAACTCAGAATTTCTCTCAATAGATCGATGTGGTCTTTTAGTTATTTTAGCCATACTACAAGATTCACACTTATCAAAAATCTCACTTTGCAATTTAGGAATTAATCCTAATCTACTCATGTTTGTGACTTATATACCATTAATATTACAAAGTCTGGCATGCCAAGCATTCGTAGCATATAAACAGAAGAAGTAGTTGCATTGATTTCAACATTAAGTCTAAACATACCATCAAGGGCATACCCTTTTCCAACAAAAGTACCATTTTTGGTAATAACATACTGATCAGACTCAATAACCTGCCTAAAGCCAGCTTTATTCAACAGAGAACCAGAAACTAAATTTTTTTCTCATATCAGAAGTATGCAAGACATCTTTTAGCAACAAAGTGCGACCAGATGTGAAGTGCAGCTCTACTTCGCCAGTACCCATAACTCTAGCAGTATGTGAATCGCCAAGTAACACTATTCTTTCATTCTCCTGTGGGACATACACTTTGAACCAGTCTCGATCAAAGCACGCATGCTTAGAAGCACCAGTATCTGCCCACCATCCCTCTGAACCACTAACAGAATTTACCTCTGTTAACACAGCCACAAAAGGCTCTTTCGTCACGTTGGCCTTATCAATAGAACCACGTTTCCGAAATCTACAATTACGAGCTGAATGCCCAGCAATGCCGCACACAAAGTAAGCACCAAGTTTATGATTCTGTGGTTTAGAGGGGTTATCTCTATTCATTTGGCCACTTTGAGTCGGGTTAGACTTTTGTTTCATATTTTGTCGATGTGGTTTTCAAACAGCTTGATTCTTCTGAAAATTCCTCTTATTAGACTTAAACTTAGGAGTAGAAGTTGTGCGTACCTTGGAAATATCACTTTCGTTCGTCTCATCCTTCTTGTCAGATAACCTTGCTTCCTACTCAATTCGAAGTTTGGTTATAAGACTTTCCAAAGAAAATTCCTTAGTCTTGTGTTGTAGTGTACCTTTGAATTCTTTCCATGAAGGAGGGAGTCTATCAATAATAGCTGCCACCTGAAATTGCTCACTAATATCCATACCATCAACATAATTTCATGCACAATCAATTGAAGATCATGAGTTTGGATCACGACTGATTTATCGTCTACCATCTGAAATTTAAAATACCTTGATACAATATATTTTTTACTACCAGCATCTTCTAAATCATATTTCTTTTGCAGAGCTTCCCAAATAGATTTAGCAAAAGTAAAAGTTCGACTATAATAATCATATAAATCATTAGTATCATTAGTCAAACAATTGAGAATATAATTTTTGCACAAGTAATCATTATCTTTCCATTTTACCATCATCAGCAAAGCTTGTGGACGCAGGAGTCACGGTGGTAGTTTCAATGTCTGATGCACTAGCAACAATTGGTGTAAGCTTTGCTTTTGGTTTCTCCCCTTCCAACACATAAGCAACTTTCATCAATGTTAAATAAAAGACCATTTTTAATTTCCAACGTTTGAAGTTTGCTCCAGAAAACTTAAAAGGTTTATTTTGATCATTGGATGTGGTCATGTTTGCAGAAGAATTCTCCATAGCAATCTCGAAATCGTCTTAAATTATTAGTTAAATAATAATAAACTATGGAGTGATATAAATTTACCTCAACGGCTTGAACCCAAAAAAGTTACAGAAATAATACCACCAAAGACAGATTAGGATGAGACATGTTATAGATATCGCTCTCTTAAGACGATTGTGTGCTTCTGCGGTTGAAATTTCAGTGCAACAGACTCCCCGACATGCATTTTATAGATACAAGAGCCCAAATTATCTTTGTACTCTTTTGACGTCTACACAATGCAAGAAGATAGAACTTCACACTACTTTGTTAATACCCGATAATCAATATAATAAACACAAAGAAAACCTTTTGTTTTTACTAAAACTTGTTCTCTTAGGAAGATAATTTTTTCTCTTATTTATCCCTCTAAAAAAATCAAATATATCCCATAAAAATCTACTAGTGGATAAGAGAATGAAAGTTAACGTTAATTTTTTCAAGTCAAAAAATAAGCTCACGTAGTCTGAGGAGTAAGAAGTGGTCAAAATAGTTTTTCTAATAATATCTTCTTTATTAAAAAATAAACTAACAGTTGGTGTAGATTATATTAAATAATAAATATTATATATATTTTAAAATATTGTTTTATAAAAAAATATATTATAATATTAAAGTTTTGTTTAATTATTTGATTAATTAAGTGTATAATTGGAATTATGATCCAATTAAAAGTGTTTTAATGTTATTAAAAGAATTATTTTTTAATAGAATAATATATTTGATTGAATAATATTTACTTCAATTATCAAGTTCTAAGCATATCTATAGACTACAGTAAATTAGTAATTATAAATTAATGAACATTAATACATTACTTAATTAAATTATCAGATATTTAATTAATTATAACATTATAGTATGACAACTCATGTTATATTAAGAAAAGTAAATGTTTTGTAATCAAACTTAAATTAATGACATAAAACAAACTTACAGTCATGCTAATTATTTAACTAAAGATTCATAAATTATATTTATATTAATATTTAATTTGATTCTGTTGTCACAATTAATGTTAATTTAACTCATGGTTAAATTCAAAAACTTTATTTTCACTCTAGTGATTATAATATTTGTATTTTTGGAAAATAAAGTTCAGTAAAATTTTATTTCCAAAATTAATTCCCCGACTATACTAAAATTTAAATCCCCAACTTAATTCCATGACTATACTTTGATTTAAATATATAATATATATATATATATATAATATATATATATAATATATTATATTATATATAATTAATGATTTTGGATAATAAAGTTAATGTTTTGGTTTTGATTGATAAATTTTGTGTGAATTGTGGAATTGATTGAATTCATATGTTCCTAGAGATTAGAGGATTTGTGACTTTGATTAGACACAAATGAATAAGAATGAAAAGTTTAAAACTACTAAATACAAGTATTCTTAATTCTCATGGGTATATTGGTAAAACTTTAAAGAGTATTTCTCATTTTAAAATTAATTGGAGGGTACTTGATTTTTTACAAGGTACCTAGCTAAGGAATGAAACCTGCATTTTAGGTTCTAGTTCCCTGAATTAAGAACCGAACGATTGATTCTGGTTTCGATTCCTTTTGTCAGGAACCAACAGGTTCTGGTTCCTTTTGCAAGGTACTGAAACATCTCCCCCTACTGGAATGTATAGTTAAAGCATACAGTAATCCCCTAGTCTTAATATTTAAGCAGGTGATCATAGTAATGGGATATCATATTAGTCACCTATATAGATTAGTCGAGTGTACGCAGTTGGCCGGACACTAATATACATGAACGATCGAACTCCCATTTACACACTAGTATATATGCATGATTTATTCAAATTCTATTAAGCATAATAATTAATATAACATGATCATCAAACACGAGAAGCAAATTGAAATATAGATTCAAGACTATCAAATACAAAAACGTCCACGAACAAGAATGAGAGACGGTATTTTATTTAATTGCAGATAACTTAGACAACCCACCAGACTTTAGCTGCTGGATTAAGTTTTATTATAATTTATTTTCATACATAAATATTAAGGTGAAATCTATAGCTCAGAATAATCGTAAGGTCCCCAGACCGTTGGTTTTGCTTGAGCTTTAATTTTAACCTCGTGTTCAAATAAATAGGAGAGGGGCAAATGAAGAACCTCTGGTCCTCCACTCCACATAATGTCAGCCAATTGAGAGTAGACAGCTTCAGTGTTATGGGCACCATCAAAGTACACATATTCACTCGGGTTAAAGCACAATTCATAAGACTGGGTTAATGATCCACACTCAAGTCCACGATAAGATCCCACACCACAGCATGCCACGTCCCCAAATTTGAACCCTTCATTTGTAACATCAAAAACCCTAGTCACCATTAAATGACTGTGTGTAGTAGAGACTAGAGCTGGGCATTTGGGACCAGGCCCAAAAGCCCAGCTCTAAAACCCGATCCTAGGACTGGACCTAGGAGGCCTGGTCCCAAAACGGGACCAGGCTTAAGGAGGAGGGCCCGGCCCCTCTACTGGGCCCTCCTCTGGTCCCAGGCCCAGGCCCAAAAAAATTTATATTTTTTCAATATAGTCCCCTGTCAAATTACATAAAACCTCCTATTAATTTTAAAATAAATATAAATTATGAGGGCTAAAATAAAATTTTACAAAATTTATAAAAAAGAAAATCTTCCAGGTCTAAAAAATTTATAAAATTTATAAATTTTACCCCTAAAAAATACTAAAAACCCCCTATAAAATTTTGTTTTGTCCCTAAAATATAAAAAAAAATTGAGGGAGAAAATGAAATTATCCAAGGCCCGTGGGACCAGTCCCGACCAGGCCTAGGGCCTAGTCCGGGTCCTGGTTTTTCTCATGGGCCTGGGACCGATCCCAGGTCATGAGTGACTGGTCCCATTTGGGACCAATCCCAAACAGGCCCAGGCCTGGGCCCGCAAGGGACCGTCCCTTGCCCACCTCTAGTAGAGACAAAAGCTGAGTAGAACTAGAATGCCTGCATGAATGGAAGAAGCTAGAAAGTGTTGGTTGAGATCAAGGAATCAACGTATCATATTATCTGTTTGTATTCATCTAATAAAACCTTACTATATACAAATATATGACGGTATACTTGAGTTTAAAGTCTTATCATATAGGTATATTAGGTAAAGATCATATCAGAAGAGGATTCTAATTAGATGAACTTACAGAATATATAATAGGTCTATTTTAATAAGAATATTACTGATTCTAATTTGAATAAGAATTGGTCTAATTATGATTAGATGAACTTACCGATGACGCGATAGCTTTATTGTAATAAGAACTAATTTTTTGATGCAAAATGGATAGGGTGATTATAGTTAGCCAACCGTATGTTGTGGGATCTTTGATCCTGTCCCCAACTGCAGTGAAGTAATCAAAGACTGAGAATACAAATCCTGGCCAAGAATTTTTGCTAGTTAGTTTTCTGAGTTTCTTGACTAAAGCATTGTTGTGTAGAATCGCCAATGTTATTTGTAACCCGACGCATGCTTCATCACTCATATCTGACATCTGTTTCGACATTGGCACACAACCTAGTGGTCCAACATTTTGAAACATAAATTTCCTCCCTCCATTATATATTTCCTGCAACCAAACAAAATAATAATAATAATAATAATTTAATATCAGCCAAAAATTTGATAATCATTCAACAAAACACTGCACCAGTATAATATATAATCTTACCTGGACATCCTGGAAGATCGTTTCAATCACTTTGTCTACGTATTCTTGTTGTTCTGGTATGGTATCATCAGAGTTTGAACTGGACTGTCTGAAGTAATCGTTGCCACCAATTGAAATCAAATAAACCGCACTTCCAAGTCTCCTCTTGGCTTCAGATCTGTGCCAAGTTCTTTCGTCCAGTTTGCTGCTAACTCCTTGAACAGTTGGACCTGTTTCCCAAAAATCATCTGAAAGGCAAAGGCTCCATAACCAAGTCATCAACTTAAACCATGAGTTTCATTGCAATGAAAACTTATTGAATTTGCTGTTCAGTGTTTAATTACTATCGCTTGGCGGTTTGTAGCTAAACATTTTCGTGTATATAACTATATATATATATACAGAATGATGAGAATTTTTTTAGCGAAGACAATATTTTGCGTACCGCATTTGTGACATTAAGGGTAGCAGCTGCTCCAGCGGAAGCAAAATTTGCGCCATGAGTGAAATTTGCTCCAGGTTTCAGAATTGGTGGCATGAACGGTAAGTTCAACTTCGATGCTGCATTCAAATGAAACACGGAGAGTTCGTTAAGCCTATCAGTTATAGAACATATTATTAGACTCTTGCACATTAATATCGATGAGACGTATAGTTGTTTTTTTTTTTTTTTTTTTTTTTTACTAACATTCAATTATACATGCACCAAATTTCTCATGTCCGAGCATTCACCACGGGAAGAATTGTCTTTTCCGGCGGAAAACAGCATCGGTAAATAAATTTTATTTCTTGATTCTTGATTTCCGACGCAGAATTTTATGAAGAGTTTGTAAAATTTTATATATATTTCAGCGTACTCCTCAGAAGTATTGATGTGAACGTTGGTTTAAAAAAAAAAAGACTATATACATGCCTACAATATTCTTACCAATAAAATCAGGAGCCAAACGGCCATCAGAATATCTCCCAGTTGGATGAAGAGGGAAATAGGTCTTGCCATAGGGGAGGTGATAACCAGGAATATAACTATATGGTGAACTGTATTGATTATTTCCGGCATCAAAAAGTGAATCCCCTAAGATGAAGAAGTAACTCTCAGCACCACCATTGCAGCTAAATGGAAACACAAAGGCGAAACTGACACACAAACTTACCATCACACAAAGCAAATTAGAACTTGGACATGCCATAGTTTCAATAGTATTATATCTTATCAAGCTACCTAGTATTGTGCTCTGTCAAGCTCCTCTCTCTTGTTATATATGCTAAAGTAAAAGGGTTGGGAAAAATCAGGCACCAATGCAGATGCATGATGATCGTGAATAAAACGGAAGTAGAATGTAGAAGTGACAAGTGAGAGTGATTAATATGTTTTTGTGCTTATTGGTTGCTATTGAGTTTGTTAGTAGTTGGACATCGATACAACCGATTAAATATCATCGACAAATAAAGGAAAATGGATTAGTGTTATGAGACCGTTTGAAAGCTCGGGAAAACAGAATTCAAGAGAGGATCCTAATTATATCTTTATTCAGACCATAATTTTTTTTTTAAAAAAAAATTTGAGGTTGTTCAAACTATTAATATATTCAATGGTCGTGGTCTGATGGTAAAATAGCAAAAGAAGATTTAAGTTTATATAGTCTCTCGAATTCGAGTTCCCAAGACTACTAATAGGAGTAACCACTAGAACTCTTATCCGACCGATAGTTTCAGGTCCCGAAGAATTAGTTGAAATACGCACAAGCTAGCCCGAACATTCCCGGTCATTTAAAAGAAAAAACACATATTCAATGAATATCAATGTAAATTAGTTATGTAGAGTAATAATTTTTCTTTTCTTTCTTTTAACGAGGTTATAATTAACTCATATAATTAAAAAGAAAATAGTAAGTTTGATAAACAAATAATAGAGTCTACAGAATTTTCAATCAACAAACTATAAAAAGTTAAGTTAGTTGCATTGTAAATTCTCCTCATACATTTATGGAATATACATTTTGTTCATATTATTGAACAAGGAATGATAAATTGATCCATCATAAATGCTTTCTTTTTTTTTTCCCCCCCTTTTAACACAAAAATGGTCCAAATTATACGCCTAATTTGTTTTCAATCAAATGTCTAAAATACTATTGTTATCTTATTCACGTGTTATTAGAAATTATTATAATTATAAATACAAAAATTTATCAAAGCAAAAACCAAAATGAATAACATAAAAAATTTAAATATTGAACTTTATACATTTTTAGTATACATTCATACATACAAACCCCACAAATTCCAGCAGATTAGATCCAAACAATGGGATGTCTAAACTTTCGTAACGAAAAATCGTGGTACCATACAAATTTAGAAGAAGACTGATCACCAAGAATTTGTCACTTTTCCTACAAAGTCAACAATTGTGTGTCATGTGTTTTATTGTGTCATAAAGTCAATTTATAGATATATATTATTTATTTATTTCTAATAAAGTTTAGGTATGTTGACATAACTTTGTGACTCTTACTTATCATCTTAAAACTAAAGGGGAAGTAACTGAGACCCTATTTGGTTAATTATTTAGAATAGCATTCTATGCTAAATAGTTTTTTGGAAAATAAGATAAGATTCCTGAGAAGTTTTTTAAGCAATTATGAATAGCATTTTCTAAAAATATTTAGATTATTTTTAACTCCTAGGTTTGTTAATTTAACTGAACACCACCAACAATAAAAGTTTATAAATTAACAAAAAAAACCACCACCCATCCACCCAAATATTGCTGGTAGTCAACCACCACCGTCGAAAGGTGGCTAGAATCTGTCGAAATGACGCACGATTGATTGGATTTTACAGATTGTGCACCAATCTGACCTTTTTTGGCCAGATCCACTATAAATCTGGCTGGAAAATGCCAGATTTATAGCCACAAATATGGTCGTTGATGGCCAGATTTGGCTAGATCTGGTCGTCATTGATGGCTAGATCTTTGGTCGTAGATCTAGCTGTTTCTAGCAGATCCACCATGGATCTGGCTGAAAACGGCCTGATCTGCACACAACCAGCTAGATTCAACCAGTCGTGCATCTTTACGGTGCTGGCAGCCAGCAGTGGCAGCGGTTGCTGGCTTTTGATAGTGGCTTGAGTGGGTAGGGGTGTTTTTTTTTAATTTTAAAACTTTTATTGAGAAAGTTAATTGTTAATGATTTAAGTTGAATTGAATAGGATTGGATTTTAAAGAATATTAAAATAAATGCATTTTTGGATTTTTAGGATAAGATAATGGAATATAATAGAGTCTACTGAATTTTCAAATCAACAAACTATAAAAAGTTAAGTTAGTTGCATTGTCAATTCTCCTCATACATTAAACTATAAAAAGTTAAGTTAGTTGCATTGTCAATTCTCCTCATACATTAAACTATAAAAAGTTAAGTTAGTTGCATTGTCAATTCTCCTCATACATTTATGGAATATACATTTTGTTCACATTATTCAACAAGGAATGATAAATTGAAGCATCATAAATGCCTTTTTTTTTTTAACACAAAAATAGTCCAAATTATACGCTTAATTTGTTTTCAATCAAATGTCTAAAATACCATTTTCGTCTTATTCACATGTTGTGAATTGTACCGAATGTTGTATCATCTGAATAATGATTGGCTTGATCTCAAAGGTATTTGCTTGAATTGGTGGTCTCCTAATACTAGAAGCATATCCCTCAATTTTAGGTCTTGAGTAATCCTTAAGTGGCCTTTGAACTTCTTCTCTTCCCATATCTATCATTGAACCTAACTCCTCTGTACAGTCCAACACTAAAAATATAGAACTAAAAATTAAAGCACTAAAAGCAAAAGTAATAGATTTTTTTAAAAATTAATACAAACCAAATTAGCAACTAGACAACTTGTATTGATATTGACAATATAAAAGCAATACCCTAGCAACGGCGTCAAAAACTTGTTGTGATTTTCGCAAGTGTACAAAATTGTGCAAATAATAAAGTGTATGAATATGGATATCAAACCCAAGGGAATTACTATTATCAATTACCAAATTAAACTATCATATTACTATTTGATTAATCCAAATTTTATCAAGAAAAATCTAAATTAAAAATAAACAATTGAAATTAAAAGAAAACAACTAAATAAATATTTGGTTTTAATGCAAGATGACTAGACCTAGGGCATAGATTTCATACCAACTCTTATTCATATGTATTGATAACTTATGCTAATTTCATTAAGCTCTTCCTAAAGGTCAAACTCTCTAAATTTCTAATAATTTTTTCTCGAACAGTTATTAAATTAACTCCTAATTACTAACTCGAATAATCTCTAATCAAATTTAAGCAATTGGAGATCATTACGTTCTATAAGTATTACCAAAACTGCACAAATCACGATAATCTATCTCTAGTGTTCGTTTAACCTATTGTTATGAAATTAACTCATAAGCGCGATAATCTATCTCTAGCGTTCACTCAACCTATGGTTTTACTACCGTAGACCCACTAAGTATCATCTCTTGATTTCAACCTAGTCCATTAATGCATTCAATTCTAGGATACTTAAGAATGAAAAGCATTACGCATAATCATAAAACTTCGGAAGAAATCTCAATAAAATTTAACATAAATAGATCAACACATAATCAAGAGATTAGGCTACATCTTAGCCCTTGAAAATAAAATTAGTTCATAGCAAATATATAAGAAGCAATCATCTTTATTAAAACAAAAATCATGAGTTTAAGGAAGAACAAAGAAAAACTTCTCTATGATTTTGCTCCAAAAGCTCCAAAAATTCTGATGCTTTTCCCTTTTCTCCTGATAGTTTTCCTTTTGATCTCTCCAAAAATCTCAAAAAATAATGTTAAAAGACTTCTATTTATATCCCACAAAGGTTAGGCTTTTGTTTTCCTTAAATCTACTCAGTTTAAGGCTTAAACCCCTTTTTTCATAGTCAAAAACAAAAAATAAATTTCCAGCTATTGTGACTGTGCCTCGGCACTATGTTGTGGCATTGTTGATTCTAGACTAACTGTGTTGTAGCATAGTGTTGCGACATGATGATAAATTCCTCTTCTTCAGTTCAAGCCTTGTATCATTCTTTAGCACTCCAAAGATAGTGATGTTTGAGCACAATAAAGATGGAATCTGAAAAAATGGTAAACATATGAAATATAGCCCTCTGAATTAGCTTTCCAACAGTCTAATAGTCATCTTAATCTGAATCTACAGCTCGAGTTATTGTTGAAATACCGAAGCATCTTCAAACTAGAGCGTAATCTAGAATCTCCTCTTTAACTTTAATACTCCATAACTTCTTCGATTCAACTCCGATTTTTGATCCGTTTGGTTCTCCTCATCACTCATTCCATTGCTAACATGATATTTCATCCAAGCATAAAATTTAGTATTAATAACCTAAAAACACTTAAACAAACCTGTGATCCCATAAAAGACATTTATGAAAACATTAAGCAAATTTACCAATATAAGCCTAATTTCTCCCAAATAGTCTCCATAAACCACTAAGTAATTGTGTATTTTCAAGCTCTTATCAATAGTGGCTTGGGTGGGTGGGGTTGTTTTTGGTTAATTTTAAAATTTTTATTGAGAAAGTTAATTGTTAATGTTTTGAGTTGAATATAGTATGACTGGATTTTGAAGAATATTAAAACAAATGCATTTTTGGGTTTTTAGGATAAGATAGTGGAATATAATAGAGTCTATCAAATTTTCAAATCAACAAACTATAGAAAGTTAAGTTAGTTGCGTTGTAAATTCTCCTCATACATTTATGGAATATACATTTTGTTCATATTATTCAACAAGCATAAATGCCTGTTTTTTTATTTTTACACAAAAATTGTCCAAATTATACACTTAATTTGTTTTCAATCTAATGTCTAAAATACCATTATTGTCTTATTCATGTGTTATTATAAATTATCACAACTATAAATACAAAAATTTACGAAAGCAAAAACCAAAATGAATAACATAAAAAATTTAAAATATCATACTTTTTTACATTTTTAATAAATATACATACATAATATATATGGCACCACGCAAATTTAGAAGAAGACTGATCACCAAGAATTTGTCATGTTTCCTACAAAGAGTCAACAATTGTGTGTCATGTGTTTTATTGTGTCATACAGTTAGTATATATATATATATAGTCATAAAAAAAAAGTTGGGATAGTTATACTTTATATATAAATAAACTCTACATAGTCATAAAAAATCAATTCTCAATTTGGTATAGTTATAAATAAGAATAAACTCTACATTGTAATAAGTTATAATTTTTCTAATTCCAGTCTTAAGAAAAGTTGCCTCTACATAGTAATAATTATCTGTATATTGAAAAAAAAAATATATGCTATATTACATTAAAGGCTTAAGATGAAATAAAATATTTATCTAAAGTTGTTTGAAATAATGATTTATGCTTTAGAGTTGTTATTACACCTTTTAACTTGTGGGTAGATTACTAGCTAGCATGAACATCTTCTTGTTGAAGTCAAATATTTCTAGTTTCTCAAGTATGTTTAGAGCTTCTTGGCACAAAACTTTTTGTATTTCCATACTATCATTCTTATAATTATTTTCTTTATCTTCTTGTCTAATTGTAGTAATGATTTCTTCTTTAGTTAAAGTATACATGACTTATTGCTCATTTGGATGATTAAGAAATACATTAATATCCATTCGATTAGTGTAATAAAGTTGTCGAATCTGATCACTATATGCTACAATGACTCTTTGATTCTCCTCATTCACTTCATTTGTAACTTGCAGTTCATTGACATCGGGGATCCTAATTTGGTAATGATTAAAATAATTGGCAATAGTATGTGGCTTCACATCAATTTGCTGTATAATTTTATAATGATTAAAACAATTGACAATAATATGTGGTTTTACACCAATTTGCCGCATAATTTTGTAATGATTAAAACAATTGGCAATAGTTTGTAGCTTCACATCAATTTGGCTATGCAGCAACTGCATTTATAATTCCATCAAGGACACTTATCTTTGCTGGTTTTAAGACACAATCTCCTATCAATTTCAAAAGTAGGCAATTGAAGCGCTGAATTGAAATCTTAATAGCATTAAAACATCAATTGAAATCCTTGTACTGTACTACTAAAACATAAATTATAAATAAATTTTTGTTACCACACCTCTATTAAATTATAACCTCTTTATAATAATAAAATTAATTAATCTCATCATTATGACTATAGAGAGGTTTTCTGCTTATAATTTTCTGCTGTCAAATTCTCTTATTTTTTCTTTTCTTTCTTCGTTTTCTTCCCGTTTTGCGTCTTTTACGACATGGGTTCGGCTTCTTTTTCGTTTCTTCTAATCTGGATTTCGTTTCCTCTGTTTGGTCTTTTAAAGTAACTCGAATGCTGGTTGACGCTTAAACAATCTCACCTTTGGAAAGCAACGTATCCAAGAATTTCAGAGTTATGTTATTTTTACTTATGACTTTGTGATTTTGAATGTATGGCTCACGATGATTTTGCGCATTTATTCGAAAACTTATTTTTTTGGTCATGGATGAAAACAAAACAGCAGCTATTGCGAGCTTTGAGCTTTAATTAAACGAGTCATGATTGCGGTCAAACTTTCGTTAGTTCAGATAATGTGTGTTTGAGTCAAATAAATCATTACATGTGAATTATATTAACATTGGAGTCTGTGTTTCATGGTACATAATTTTGACATTTTTTTTTATTTTTTTTGTCTTTGGTATGGATATTTGCTGTGTATTTAACATGCATAATTTTTTCTAGGTTCTCTTTAAGGTATTGGATTAATTGAGAATTTCTGAAAGATTTAATTTTTGGAGTTCTTTTTGCCATTTGCAGAAAGTGCATAAATAAAAAATTTATGGATGAGGAGTTGGAACGCTGTCCAGTATGTGATATCCCTCTGAGTTCCTTCTGAGAAATTGAGGTGAGAGCAGAAGAAGAAGAAGGTTGGAAAGAAGGTGAAGGTAGGAGCCAGAGCTGGGCCAAAAGGGTTTGGGCAAAAGACTGATGATTTTGATGATGATTGATCAGGAATGCAGATTGATGATCATGTAAACTTCTCATCGACTTTGTAACTCATATTAGCTATACATTAACATGATTCAATTTTAAGTCATTATTGTGACATCTTTGGCTGTATAAAATGTATTTTATTTGTGTCTGTTGTGAGGAAATGTCTCTTAGTTAATCCATCATGCCTAGGATGAATTATTTTACTTCTTCACCTGTACTTGGTTTCAACTTGGATAATTATCATATTAAGATGTAAGGGAGTTGGTCTTAATTAACAGCTTTCTTTTGTCAAAAATCAATTGTTTACATTGAGTTTGAAGATCAATGAAGGTCTTGGTGGATTTATTGCAAGACAGATCATATGATGCTATGCATCTTGATGCCAATATGAATATACGTTAGATGGAGGTTCCGTCTTCCATTGTTAGATTTATTTCTTGTATACATCACTACAACATTATGTATTTCTAGCCATAACATTCATTGTAGTTAAAAGTATGAATTTATATAGCTAAATGGTTTAACTATAAATGCAATGTTTTATAGTTTATCGTAGTTAGAAGTGACATAGTTAAGATTTAGCCATGTAACTTTTTGCTTACGTAACTAACAATTTATATTTTTTGCTATAAATGAGATTAATATGTAACTAAAAACTTAAATGTTTTTGTCATAGCAATAATAAGCTTGTAGCAAAAACTTTGCCTTTATAGCCACGGAGAATAGTCATTTTAGCTACAAAAATATAAATTTATAACTAAATCTTGAAAATTTCTGCTACAAAAATAATATTCATAACAAATATATTAACCTTTTGGCTACGTGACAGCTAAAATCATAACTAAATAAAAAATATCATTTGCCACATATATAGTGAATTCATAGCTAAATTTTAATTTTTTGCTACAAACATATGAAAGTCATATCTGTATATGAAAAGATATTGGATGGACATAGTGTGTAATAGCTAAATATTGAAATTACTTGCTATGAATACTTTTGATTTGTAGCTAAATATTATAAATTATTTGGCATATATGAGTCATATATATGTGAAATTCAGTTGCTATGGACAGAGTTTGTTAATAGCTAAATATTGAAATAACTTGCTATAACAATTTTAATTTGTAGCAAATATAAATTATTGCTATGGAACAAATAATTTAATAAAAAATTTATAAATTATTGCTTCAATTAAATTAATTGTACAAAATATTGCTATAATTAACAAATTTAATAAAATTACAAATTTATGCAATTCTTTTATTTATTATATAGATATATGACGTCATATGAAAATTTATAACATAAAAAGTTATACATTAACAAAGTCATTTCCAACCAAATAATTGTCTACTCATTAAATCCTTCATTCTAGTAAATTAAAATGTTAGCAACTAATTTTTTTTAGAAATTATGAATCTTCAATGTTATAGCAATCTTTCCTGACCATTTAAGAATTTCCCAACCTGCAATATCAAATTTGAAAAAAAAAAAACTTAGATTAATCATATAGATTAATGTAATCATCGCATATCACTTTATGATTAATGTAAAAGAAAAATGGTTTTCATAGTATATATGCAATTTTCAAATAACTTACAATTTCATCCAAAGGGATTTGGTTATTTATGAAGATTGTTGACCTTGGGAGGTAACCATCATCATGAACTTCTCTTCCCATCGTCTATTCATCTATTCCATTTGCTTTTTCACTTCTTCTAATTTTCATTGCTTCCTCTTTGCCTCCTCCACCCTTTCATTTGCTTCCTTCCTAGTTGTTTGTACTTGTTTCATAAGTTGTGCTTTAGTTGGTCTACTTCAAAAATATCGGTAATACTTTTTCCGGACCATAAGCACGCAAATAGCCATTCTTCTCTAGACCAAGGACCTCTTCAAATATTTCATCATCATTCAATAAGATTTGTCCTTCTATTGTTGCTTTTTTAATCGATCAAACTGTGACTAAAAAAACAAATTTATGGTATTAGCTTAGATGTGTGGTGCATAATAAAAATAAAAGAAGTAGTTAAAGAGAATACAAAGCTATTACAATAACGTTTTCATAATGGATTCAACTTGCTTATCTTTTTCTTTTGCGAGATTCTATCCAAACTTCAACAAGAGAATGAGTATATCCATTTTCTTTTGCTGTCATAATAAAAGTTATGAACATATTGATTAAAAAAATAATGAATGTGAATTATTAAACTTAATCTCATATTTGAAAGCAAATTCATACCATTTGACGTCTAAGTGAGCATAACTTTTAGTTCCTGTGTAAGGAGGCATAGACCGCTTTGATCTATTGTTATTCTTGTTACTCCTTTCCTGTGTAATGATAAAATAAGCAATAATATTATATCTTATAATTACATAGAGTATTATGCTAAAATGTAACTTAAATAGCTAGCTTACTTGAAAGGTTGCCTCACTCCATAATTAACCAAATACTTCAATGTCCATATGAACAAGTTTAGGCTTGTTTTCAGACGACTTTGGTGGAGTTGGTTTCGAATCAAAATATCTTTTTTTCATTTATATCGTAATCCCTATATAAGGCATTCATGTGAACAAAAATGGCTTCTTTCCTTCCTTCTACTTCTTCAAATACAAACTATCCTAAAAAGCATATAAGATAAATAAGTTTCAAATTCCACACTTTAATATATTAAACAAAATACAAATATATAATATTTATTCTTATATGTCTTACCTTGATAATGGTCACATATGGTCAATTTCATCTTTGAGTTCTTTCCACTCCTTTATTTGTAAATGACAAAAATGACTTATCCGAACTGTTTGTCCTAAAAACCAAACAAAATCTGTTGAGTTTTCATTAACAGCCTGATGATCCTCATCAAATTCTATAGGCAATTTTTCTCATTTTCTAATGTAATGTTTTTATGCAACAGTAGGACCTCTTGTTTTCCTTTTTTTGATGTTTAGACCTAAAAATCACATGAATAATTATTAATTAGCAAATTAAGAACTGCACGACATTTAGAATGAAAATGCATGAAAGTAAAATGAAAAAAATTAAAATAAAAACCTGATGTCCATGCCTCAATTCCAACATCTGTGTGTGTTCCTCAGAAAATGTCTGGTTGACTTCTCTCGAAACATTTCCAAGATTATGTCTTCGGGATAGCAAGGCACTATATCATCCTTTTCTAAGATAGTAAACATGTTAACATGCATTCCCTTAGTATTCTGGAACTGCAAGCATGTTTCTCACGTCATCATCATCAACAATTTGGACTAGCCATCAAAGAACTAAGGATACTCGTTGGCTTCAGGAAAACAATTTGTCTCCACGGAGTATATCAAAGTCACAATTTCTTATAGTAACCAACAAAGCAAAGTATGTGAGAAACTCGAACTCCAAATCAAAAATAGTAATTATCTCACTCTACATTGACATCGTTCGTGTAGGTGAAAAGACAAATTATCCCCATAATGAAATCTTATTGTCTATGTCCGGTATGCCCATTTCTTCCTATTATAAAAAAAGTAAATTCAGTTACATGAATATTAAAAAACTAACAAACAATATTATAAGGGTGGCTGTAGATATAACAATGAATTGATTTGGTGATCAAGAAAATATTAAAAAAATAATGACTAAATGATGTTTAAAATAGAATCAGTTGCTTTTTCTGGCTGTATACGAGAATGGTGATTAAGACATGACTTTTCAATGCTATTTGTAGTAGATTGACCCTTATTGAGTTGTGCTTTGATGAGTTTTTTGCAATCTTGAGGATACTATCGGCAGATCACTCTTTTTGTTAGTGGGCTTAGCTTTTCTTTTGCCTTTAACTAAACCTCCATGCCCTCATGTTGTTGGTATTCTAAAAAAGTATTATTACAATAAAAAAATCATTGAGTCATAAATAAATAAATGAAAGAAAAAGAAATTATTGAGTTATGACCATAAAACGGAAAATTCCTTACCCCAATGTCAATTAATCCATTCATCCATTTTCCAAAACCTTAAGTTATGAATGAAGACAGACTGCGCATAAAAAAGCAAAGTGGGTCATGAAAAGAATACGTTGTGAATGTATTTATGTAATGGTATTTTACGCAGAGTGGGTCATGAAAATAATATATTGTGAATGTATTTATGTAATGGTTTGATGCCTCAGGAATCTGCCTTAAGATTGGTTTCTTGGTTGCAAAATACTAATTAAATAATCTGTTCAACTCCCCCAACCAAAACAAACCGTGAGTGTACAAATAAAAATAACTCTACTAAATCAAAGAAACCTAACAGATGTGAACAAACCATACACGTACCACATAAAACCTGGAGAGATTACTAGCATTGGTCAAAAAAGTAAATATGATCATTATTAAGAGAATTGAGATGTCAAAAGTTTTTTATTTATTTACTTTTTTTTAATTTTAAATCAAAGAAGGTTATTCAATAAACTTTTCTCTGTATAAACTCTACTCATATAAACCGTATCAAATAGAACGGAAGTGAAATAGAATATAAGCATTTGTATTGAAAATTAACATTAGAATAGATAACATGTTTGAGTAGTCAAATTTGGCAAGGCAAGGCAAGTTTCATAAATAATAATAATAATAATAATAATAATAATAATAATAATAATAATAATAATAAAAACCATAAACAAAGGTGACAATTTCATAAATATAAAACCATAAACAAAGGTGACAATTTCATACATAACATCTGATACAAACCATCCAATACAAAATTAAATAGCTGACAGTATTTATTGACTTCACATTACATCAACGAAGAAACTTATTGAAAATTAAAAATTCAACTAGCATTGCTGACAGAGCAGACATGGAAAGACTCAAAAGCTAAAGTAGCAAGCTAAGATCGAAAATGTCGAAACAAATATATATATATATATAAATTAGCAAACTTTGATGACACTATTTATTGCAGCAGACATGGAAAGTCTCGAAAGCTAAAGTAGCAAGATATCAGGTTAATAAAGAGCAGAGGCACTGTAGAGGATATTAGACATGTAATCAAAGGTAATTATTGTCATGAGTTTTTTATGAGTTTTTTCTTAACTTCTTTTATATCCACCTATTGGTTTGACGCATGGCCAATTTAATATTATATTATAAATAAAATTTTTCTCAAAATTTGGCATTATGTGATTGATGTGTGATGCATGGCGAAGTTTAATATTATAGTATAATATTATTTTTTTCTCAAAATTTGACATTATATGCTTGATGTGTGTTTGATTACTGTTTTTATCAATAATTGTGTCATTAAAAAATTTTTAATAAATATCAAATAAGTGTATTTTTTGAAAACCCTAGAAAGTTGTGAGATTTCGTCCTCAATATAAACACATAATGCACGGAAGAAAATAAAGCAAGTTGCAGAAGAAAACTTACCTTTAAAGAAAACTGATTCTTGAAAGAAAACTGCAAGTACAACAATTTGCAAAAGAAAAAAATGCACAGAACATTAGAAAATAAAAACCTCAATGACGTTGTATTGGTTCCAAAAAGAAAACTAACCTTTGAAGCCTGAATATTGTCTAGGAATTCTTCTAATGATTGTAATCGTTTGCCGCGCCTTGTTCTTGATTTCCCCATGTTTATGACAAAATAAAAAACTTCAAATAAAACCCTAATAAAAAAAAGCGCAATTGAAAAAATAAGGAGGGATAAAAGTACCGCCACTTTTATAATTTGGGAAAACATTTACTCTTTATCCTATTTAATTGTAAATATATTTTATTTATTTTAATTATTTTATATAACTGTGTTTTTGCGTGCGTCTCCTGTCAAATAAAAAATAATAAAAACTTTATATTTATTTAATTAAATTCTTATACAGTTGCCTCTACACCGGCTATACTCTCAATTAAACAATAATGCTACGGACACCGGTATTTTTACATCGAAATCTTGTACCGGCCTACGTGTCCCGTGATTCACACCAGCAAACCAGACTCGTTCACGTTATTAAATTTTTTTCTAGTGAACGGTCGTTCATCAAATATGGACGGTCGTTCATCAAATATGGACGGTCGTTCATCAAAAATGGACGGTCGTTCATCAAATATGGACGTTCATTCACTTATATGGACTCCTGTCCATATTATATGGACGGGGGTCCATTTACTACGGACGAGCGTCCCCATTTAAAGGACGGGCATCCATCAGTAAAATGGAATAAAATTTTTTTTATAATAAATTATAACATAATAATTTTTTAAAAAGAATTGTTAATGGACCGGCATCCATTAAAATATGAACGCCCGTCCAATATTTAAGGACAGCCATCCATAACTTGTGAATGGCCGTCCCTAATTTTTATAAAAAAAAAAAAAAAAATTATTCTATTTTACTGATTGATGGGTGTCCTTTAAATGGGGATGCTCGTCCGTAGTAAATGGACCCCCTTCCATATAATATGAATGGGAGTCCATGTAAGTGAACGGTCATCCATATTTGATGAACGGTCGTTCACTAGAAAAAAAAATTAATAACGTAAAACGTGTCTGGTTTGCTGGTGTAAATCAGGGGACACACAATGTCCGCAGCATTATTGCTCAATTAAATCACAAAAGTTAAGCATTACACATGGGAGTCTGTATCAGCAAAAGGTCAAGACGGTGCCGTTTCTGCTTGGCACTTTACTAAATGCAAAGTGACGTCGTTTTCAATTCCAATTTACTTTACTCTTCTCTTTACTTTCTCACTTTACTCTTTCTCTCAGTCAGTCAATTGTATGCCTTTCTCTTTCTCAATTGTATAAGAACAAATCTCATATGTAATCTCATTTCATTCAGTTAGAAAATAAAGCTACTGAAATTGTGCTTTTCTCTAGAAACTTCAGTTTATCTTTCTCAAGTTAACAGTCTGTGCCAGTTTTTGCTTCCAACTTACACATAATTTAATAAAAAAAGATAAATGATGATGAAGATTCATATACTTGTCAAATATATATATATTATGGTTTGATTATTAACATTAATTTGATAGTGCATGGTTGTTAATTAAAATATTTGTCATTTTTTGAATTGCATGATATTTTTGGGAAGAAGATCATTAATCTATGGTCTTAAATTTGTCCAAGTGGTTAGGCATTTTTCCATTAGTGATTAATATTTGTTGTAAAGTTTTGAGGAGTGGACTTTCTAAATGGGAATTTGTTCTTATTTCATTTTCATTGTACTTATGAAAATTTAACTTCCTTGGGAATACCCCTTCTTTTGTGCTATTTATATTTATTGCCTTGGTTGTTTCACTAAATGGAAGGAAAACAAATTACTGTACTTGTAAATTGGAATTTGGTAGAGTTTTGTTTAAGGAGAATATGCATCAAAATTAAATGTATATAATAAGTTGGGTTTACGAGGATTAGATGTTTGATTACTTACCCTAATATGTATTATAACTAAAATTAAACAAATTATTTTATTAATTAATCTTATAATTATTAATATATATAAATAATTTATTTAATTTTTCACATTTAAAAGATAAATTACATATATTATGATGAAGAAAATTAAATTCTACATATTTAAGATAAATAATTTGAATTATAAATGATGAATAAGATAAATAATCTTTACATAGTGGGATTATCACACAAGCTAATCATAGTCTCATGTGATTCACTAAGTTCAATTTTTATAAGTAAACTTATATTCTTATTATAAAAAATACGAAAAGATTGTGAATTAAATCACAAGTAGTTTGAATTAATTGCAATTGACACCTTGAGAAAAATTTATTAAATCACAAGGAGATGAAACCAACTTAAATCCTACCATTTCTAAGCTCCGTAATGAATTATTTATTTCTTGTTCACAGAATAAACTTGCAAATTGATCTCCAACTTATTGATTAATGACGTATGCGAGGGTCCCGTTTCTTGGTGAGTGGGCAACCGTCCCACTCATTGGTGAGAGGGCGGGGATGAGGGGGCAACGCGCCCTTCACGGTAAGTTCAATTAGTAATTGGACTTGTTATTAGATTACTAATATTTGAGCTTGGGTTGGGTTAGATTCAGGTTAACACAAATAAATAGGGTTTTCTATTATATATATACTTAAAAGCAATTATTATTAATTAAAGTGGTCTAAACATTTGATTTAGTTATGCATGCCCAAAGTGATAATTACTATTGTTTATAATTACTATAGCTTATATATATATATATATATATAATTTCATCCCAATTCCACTAGACATCTAGATCCAATAAACTATTATTATTAAATAAAATATTATATAAATACTTAAAAGAAATTATTATTAATTAAAATTGTCTAAATATTATATTTATATATATTTCATGCCAATTCCACTAGAACATCTAGATCCAATAAAGTATTATTATTAAATAAAATATTATATAAATACTTAAAAGAAATTATTATTAATTAAAATTGTCTAAATATTATATTTATATATATTTCATGCCAATTCCACTAGAACATCTAGATCCAATAAAGTATTATTATTAAATAAAATATTATATAAATACTTAAAAGAAATTATTATTAATTAAAATTGTCTAAATATTATATTTATATATATTTCATGCCAATTCCACTAGAACATCTAGATCCAATAAAGTATTATTATTAAATAAAATATTATATAAATACTTAAAAGAAATTATTATTAATTAAAATTATCTAAATATTTTATTTAGTTATGCCCAACGGCCAAAGTGATAACTACTATAGTTTATATATATGTATTTTATACATAAATATTTCATCCCAATTCCACTAGCCGTCTAGACTCTAGACCCAATAAAGTATTATTATTAAATAAAATATTATAAATTTAATAACTTGAAATAAAATATAGCATAAATGTAAGATTGGCAGCAGGAGGTCGACAGGTGAGATTAGACAAAACTTTCACCCTATTCCACTAGACGTCTAGACCCAATAAATATTATTAATTTAATAGTTTAAAATAAAATATAACATAAAAGACGGTGGACAAGTGAGAGTTGTACCATTAGATTAGACAAAATGAAATTGATTTGGCAGCTCAAGATCAATATCAAAGATTAGGATTAGGATCTCCTCCATCTCGTGTTTATTAGGACCTTGTTATACTTACTGATTAAATTACCGATTTTGACAAATCGACCCATTGCCCAATTATCCAAATCTCAAAATTTAACTCAATTCACTAAGAGTCAATATGTCAAATCGGTAGTTTAATCGGTAGCTTTAGCATTATTGTGTTTATTAACGTTTATTTTCTTTTTTTAATTCCCAAAGGCCTCAGTTTTCACTCACAGTCGTCACTGTCAGATTGGGTTCTCGTCACTATCAGATTGGGTTTGAATCCGTTTGTTGAGTCCTCAATTAGCCAAATTGAATTGAATTGGGTGAACGTATTACTTATCTGAATGGTTGATTTCAAGAAAAAAGGTTAGTTAATAACAATCTCTACATCTTTTTGCATTATCTTTATATTGATGTATTTTGTTTTGTTTTTTGATTTTGGAATTTTGCTTTTAATAACAAGCTCATCATCTGTTTGTAAAACATCTTCAATGAAATTTTGTGTGTATCTATCTTTGATAAAAGAATGAAAAAGATCAATTCAATCGCTGTAAATTGATTTTTTATTTTTTATTTTTTGCATTACCATAGCTGATGTTTTAACCTCATCTTTTTGTCTATTTGGAAATTTTTAGAACAAATTCATACAGAGGAGCTTAATGTTTTGAGGGTTTGCCCAGCCTACAAACATGAAACAAAAATAAAACGATATGCAATAATTAAGGAAATCTAGCTATTTCTTCAAATTTCAACCGAGAAAAATTTACCAGTGTGGACCATGGGCATTATAATGGCTAGGGGCAGGTGGAAGATAGACATGAGTGTTACTTATATGTTGACTAACTCTCTGGTTTTTGGATGATAAAACATTGGTTTGACTGACCTAACTTGTATAGCATAAGTAGAATATGTTTTGTAGCATTTATGAATTTCGTAAAAAGCTTCTGGAGGTAATTTCAGTTGTAGAAATCTGTTAGTTTTATTATTATTATTATTTTTTTTTTTTTTTTTTTACTTTTATTGTAATTACTCATCTCTTAGGGGATACGATGTTTGTTTGTTTGTGTTAAAACAATAATTAATCGCCAATTTGCTTAGCAACAATATGGTTTGTGTAATGAGCTTCAAGGTATCCAACTATTTTCATAAAGAATCGGTGTTTTATGTAGTTCAACTCTGACGAGGAAAGCTGGGATTCAACAGGGTTTTTACAATTACGGTAAAAATATTTGCAAAATGTCCACAGAAGCAAGACAATATTAGGGATGTGTAGGCTATCATTTTGACAGCAGCACTATTGATTAAAACAATCGTCCTAATATTACAATGACACATTTATTAGGATCCCACATGGGGTTTGTAAAGGCTTGATAAAGGCTTGGTAAGTCAATTTTTCAAAGAGAACCCAGCCATGAAAGACCTATTGTCCAACCCAATTATTATCAAAGCCACATACCTAGCCTATTTTCTATCCGTTCCTATCACACATCAAATAAATTTTGAAGATGAACACAACATTCTGAGAAACTACTTGATGTTAATAAGAA